ACACAAGTCCTATGATCCATCGATCCAAGCAGTATTTGTCTTGGGCAATCGCGTTCCTCCCTTACATTCTTAGACCATCTTAACTTTGCTGTAAGGAACTGGGGAAATTCAGCTGATCTTTCTAAGCTGTCTTTCCCCACATGCGCMATATCATCATTTCGACCAATCAAGTGGAACTGGAACTTAAGCATTGCAAGGAACCTCAGCCGATTGGTAATAGAACCATGATTCGACATTAGTTCTAATGTTTGCAAAAACTCATCCTTTGTAAGAGGCCTATCCATACTGGTTGCTTGTCCAAGTCCTCTAGTTTCCTTCTTGACAACAGCCCCGATTAGGTCATTCACTTGCTGGGACTTGGTAGGATTCCCACTTCCAAYACCGGCAACAACTGTCCATTTGTGCATCTTATTTGGCATGAAGTATGATATGGCCTTCTTGTAGTAGATTAAAGAAGTSGATCTACCATGAGTAGGATTATCATCCACGCCTGGATCCTCACGACCAAAAGCTTTCTTTGCAAAGAACCTGTAGATGTGGTCTGGAGTTAAAAAGCTGAGTTCCTCRTGGGTGAACAGCTTGTCATTAGGGAACCGATTGTCATCATCTCCATCACTGTGTCCATGCACATGATCCATTAGCTCAAGAAGGACCTTGTGGTACCTCCTCCACTGTCCTGGCTGGTTCACRTCTCGTGGAGGCGTTACAGACCCCCCCCTTCTGTTCCGAGCCCGGACACGCCGACGATTCATCCCTCCTCTTGGTGTTCTTGCCATTAGTGGTAGTACTACTARCGTTGCTTCTTTGTTGCTGTTGCTTGGGGTTTTGCTTGTACTCCTCCTCGTATGCGAGGAGCAGTGGCGTTTTGCTTTGCTTGTACTCGTACCACGTACTATGTGTACTATGCGAGGAGCAGGTTTGGGGTTTTGCTTGAACCGGTACTACTCGTATGCAAGAAGGACTGCTTGGTTGGTACTCGTAAAGGGATGAGCAAAGAGGCGAATGCACCTCTTGCGTCCTCGTGAGTCAACGCGTCGTGAGTCAACAATGCTGGGGGCTAATGTGCAACGATACTGCGCGGAGCTGTTTTTCGATACTTAGTGGTAGTAGTAGTGTTCTTCTTGATACTGCTGTTGTGCTGCTGTTTTTCGATAGTTAGTATTTGCTTGTCTTCTTGCTTGGGGTTTTGCTTGAACCGGTACGTACTCGTATGCGATACTCGTAAGTGTTATTTTGTGAGCAAAAAA